GACTGTCTGTTTAGGTGTTGGGGAAGCCACTGACATCCAAGATGTCCTTATTGAGGTTATTAAATGTCCCTTATTGATATTAAAGACTATGTTACCCTACTGGATGAAACGTTTATGCATCTTCATGATATTATATTGTCTCGCTGTGCACTTCCTAACCGAAGCTGGGTCGACTGTCTGTTTAGGTGTTGGGGAAGCCACTGACATCCTGTTGGGTACGATTCTGAACCTTGTGGCCATGAGGTTACCTTCAAGATGTCCCTTATTGATATTAAAGACTATGTTACCCTACTGGATGAAACGTTTATGCATCTTCATGATATTATATTGTCTCGCTGTGCACTTCCTAACCGGAGCTGGGTCGACTGTCTGTTTAGGTGTTGGGGAAGCCACTGACATCCTGTTGGGTACGATTCTGAACCTTATTGAGGTTACCTTCAAGATGTCCCTTATTGATATTAAAGACTATGTTACCCTACTGGATGAAACGTTTATGCATCTTCATGATATTATATTGTCTAACCGGAGCTGGGTCGACTGTCTGTTTAGGTGTTCCTAACGATTCGAAAGCTGGGTCAAGACTTATTGTAAAGACTATTTTGGATGGTGTTGGATATTATATTGTCTCGCTGTGCACTTCCTAAAAGGTCGACTGTCAGCCACTGACATCCTGTTGGGTACGATTCTGAACCTTGTGGCCATGAGGTTACCTTCAAGATGTCCCTTATTGATATTAAAGACTATGTTACCCTACTGGATGAAACGTTTATGCATCTTCATGATATTATATTGTCTCGCTGTACTTCCTAACCGAAGCTGGGTCGACTGTCTGTTTAGGTGTTGGGAAGCCACTGACATCCTGTTGGGTACGATTCTGAACCTTGTGGCCATGAGGTTACCTTCAAGATGTCCCTTATTGATATTAAAGACTATGTTACCCTACTGGATGAAACGTTTATGCATCTTCATGATATATTGTCTCGCTGTGCACTTCCTAACCGGAGCTGGGTCGACTGTCTGTTTAGGTGTTGGGGAAGCCACTGACATCCTGTTGGGTACGATTCTGAAATGAGGTTACCTTCAAGATGTCCTTATTGATATTAAAGACTATGTTACCCTACTGGATGAAACGTTTATGCATCTTCATGATATTATATTGTCTCGCTGTGCACTTCCTAACCGGAGCTGGGTCGACTGTCTGTTTAGGTGTTGGGGAAGCCACTGACATCCTGTTGGGTACGATTCTGAACCTTGTGGCCATGAGGTTACCTTCAAGATGTCCCTTATTGATATTAAAGACTATGTTACCCTACTGGATGAAACGTTTATGCATCTTCATGATATTATATTTCTCGCTGTGGGTCACTTCCTAACAGACATCCTGTTGGGAACGATTCGACTGTCTGTTTAGGTGTTGACTATGTTACCTACTGGGAAAGCTTCATGATATTATATTGTCTGACATCCTGTTGGGCACTGTTTAGGATTTGAATCCTTGTGGCCATGAGGTTACCTTCAAGATGTCCCTTATTGATATTAAAGACTATGTTACCCTACTGGATGAAACGTTTATGCATCTTCATGATATTATATTGTCTCGCTGTGCACTTCCTAACCGGAGCTGGGTCGACTGTCTGTTTAGGTGTTGGGGAAGCCACTGACATCCTGTTGGGTACGATTCTGAACCTTGTGGCCATGAGGTTACCTTCAAGATGTCCCTTATTGATATTAAAGACTATGTTACCCTACTGGATGAAACGTTTATGCATCTTCATGATATTATATTGAATAACCGGAGCTGGGTCGACTGTCTGTTTGGGTGTTGGGGAAGCCACTGACATCCTGTTGGGTACGATTCTGAACCTTGTGGCCATGAGGTTACCTTCAAGATGTCCTTATTGATATTAAAGACTATGTTATCCTTTGGATGAAACGTTTATGCATCTTCATGATATTATATTGTCTCGCTGTGCACTTCCTAACCGGAGCTGGGTCGACTGTCTGTTTAGGTGTTGGGAAGCCACTGACATCCTGTTGGGTACGATTTGTGGCCATGAGGTTACCTTCAAGATGTCCCTTATTGATATTAAAGACTATGTTATCCTACTGGATGTTAAAAACGACATGCATCTTCATGATATTATATTGTATTGCACTTTGATATTCGGAAGCTGGGTCGACTGTCTGTTTAGGTGTTGGGGAAGCCACTGACATCCTGTTGGGTACGATTCTGAACCTTGTGGCCATGAGGTTACCTTTCAAAGATGTCCCAATTAAAGACTATGTTATCTACTGGATGAAACGTTTATGCATCTTCATGATATTATATTGTCTCGCTGTGCACTTCCTAAAAGCTGGGTCGACTGTCTGTTTAGGTGTTGGGGAAGCCACTGACATCCTGTTGGGTACGATTCTGAACCTTGTGGCCATGAGGTTACCTTCAAGATGTCCCTTATTGATATTAAAGACTATGTTACCCTACTGGATGAAACGTTTATGCATCTTCATGAATTATATTGTCTCGCTGTGCACTTCCTAACCGGAGCTGGGTCGACTGTCTGTTTAGGTGTTGGGGACATCCACTGACATCCATGAGGTTACCTTGGGATGTCCCTTATTGATTCTGAACCTATGTTACCCTACTGGAGGTTAAATATGTCCCTGTGCACTTTATTGATATTAAAGACTATCTATGGCCATGAGGATGAAATGTTTATGCATCGTTTTCATCTTGATATTATATTGTCTCGCTGTGCACTTCCTAACCCGAGCTTTCGACTGTCTGTTTAGGTGTTGGGAAGCCACTGACATCCTGTTGGGTACGATTCTGAACCTTAGGCCATGAGGTTACCTTCAAGATGTCCCTTATTGATATTAAAGACTATGTTACCCTACTGGATGAAACGTTTATGCATCTTCATGATATTATAAACTTCTAACCGGAGCTGGGTCGACTGTCTGTTTAGGTGTTGGGGAAGCCACTGACATCCTGTTGGGTACGATTCTGAACCAAAGGTTACCTTCAAGATGTCCCTTATTGATATTAAAGACTATGTTATCCTACTGGATGAAACGTTTATGCATCTTCATGATATTATATTGTCTCGTTCCAGAACTTCCTAACCGGAGCTGGGTCGACTGTCTGTTTAGGTGTTGGGGAAGCCACTGACATCCTGTTGGGTACGATTCTGAACCTTGGGTTAATGAGGTTACCTTCAAGATGTCCCTTATTGATATTAAAGACTATGTTTAAGATGAAACGTTTATGCATCTTCATGATATTATATTGTCTCGCTGTGCACTTCCTAACCGGAGCTGGGTCGACTGTCTGTTTAGGTGAAAACGATTCTGAAATGAGGTTACCTTCAAGATGTCCCTTATTGATATTAAAGACTATGTTACCCTACTGGATGAAACGTTTTATCTTCATGATATTATATTGTCTCTGTGCACTTCCTAACCGGAGCTGGGTCGACTGTCTGTTTAGGTGTTGGGGAAGCCACTGACATCCTGTTGGGTACGATTCTGAACCTTCAGGCCATGAGGTTACCTTCAAGATGTCCTTTATTGATATTAAAGACTATGTTTATAGTTTATGCATCTTCATGATATTATATTGTCTCGCTGTGCACTTCCCTAACTAGCTGGGTCGACTGTCTGTTTAGGTGTTGGGGAAGCCACTGACATCCTGTTGGGTACGATTCTGAACCTGTGGCCATGAGGTTACCTTCAAGATGTCCCTTTATTGATATTAAAGACTATGTTCTACTGGATGAAACGTTTATGCATCTTCATGATATTATAAACTTCCAAAAGGTCGTCGACTGTCTGTTTTGTTGGGGAAACTGACATCCTGTTGGGTACGATTCTGAACCTTGTGGCCATGAGTTTTAAAGACTATGTTATCCTACTGGATGAAACGTTTATGCAACTTCCTAATGAAACTGTCTGTTTACCAAGATGACATCCTGTTGGGTACGATTCTGAATTTGAGGTCTCTTCAAGAATTGATATTAAAGATATGACTCATTTGATGAAGATGCATCATTTTCTCTGATATTTATTGTCTTGCAAATTTTAGATCTTCGACTGTCAAATCCTGTTGGGTACGAAAATGAGGTTCTTCAAATTTATTGAAACAAGTTTTAAGATGCAGATAGAATAATGAAACTGGTACCAAGATGAACTGTAAAATTTGGTATAGAATGATCTTCAAAATTAAAAAACTTATTTTGATAAGTGTAAGGTCTTCAAATAAAAAGATCTCCAAACTTATTATTTAAAAATTTAAATTTAAAAACAAATTTTAGATCAGGGAACAATTATTGGTACAGTTATAAATTTCTCATTTTAAAACTTGAAAAATAATGTATTTATGGTACTATAGATACTAAAAATTCTATTGGAGGAATTTGAAAAATTTAAAGTTTACTCAAAATGTTATCTGTTATGTCTGCAACAACTGTAACTATAACAAAGACAACAGAACCGAGTGTAGCTCTTTGAAATGAGGTTAAATGTATTTACAAGAATGGTGAATGGTATGGAAAGATTGTTAGTATTATCTTCCTAAGGTCAACAGTACATGCCATTCAAAGTTTAAGATGAAGTCTTTAAATTAATATTTTCAGGGTGAGAGGAATGCAGAATAGTGAGGTTTGCAATTTATAGATCGAACATAGAATAATGAAGTAAAAAACTGTAGGTAAAAAATGTTTCTTGGCAAATGGTTAAATCCCAAGAGTGTTGAAAGCATGATGCTCCAGAAAAATCCCTTTATGCAATTTCCCATTTGAAGGCATAAAAGTTTTCTATAGAAAAGAATCTGGGTTTGAAACTTTATGAAGGACAATGATCCTAAGCATCATTCAAATTTAATGTTTTAGTTTTCTATAAATCCTTTTTGAGAAACTTTAATTGAATATCAGCTATTTGCATTAATAACTTTAGACAAAACAAATTTATATACATTTTATAACATCATATTCTCTTTATTTCAGTGCCCCAAAGAGATGAAGAAGGACAATGAAGCAAAAATGAGAATCTCCTTTACAAATCCATTGTCTTTGAATCTGACAAATGTTGTCTTAAATGTGGAAGGTTCGAAAATTGTAGCCTCAACAACATTCAGGTATTTCATTATTCTCTTTTTTATTATGCAATCTTTACAAAAATAGTAGAGTGTTGTCTGTCTGATGATGGTATTTCAATGTGGCATATCTGACCATTCTTTCCTCTGAAACAATCTGTACGATTATGTACAAAAGAAAGAACTGAATAACACAATCTAATGGCATGTTTGATTATTAAAAGCCATGAGTTTTCTTGGAATTGTTAGTGGAGTGGTTTTCTGTTGCCTTCTCCACAGTGATTTTATTGAGGCACCCCCTCCATTAGGTGGCTGTTGACTTATCAGGAGTTCTTCCACTGTTTGATATGTCATATTTTTCATCCTACAGGGTTGCTAACAACCAGCCTCACTTGCAAGAAATTGGAGTGAGGGTGCTGGTTTAGTTGCTGACCATCTGACAATAGCATACATACACATACATACCCATATACACAAAGTTTGAACTTTTCTAGGGTACATAATTAGAAAAGAAGGCTTGGAAAATTTGATACTCACATGATAGATTGAAGGCAAGAGGGACTGAGGAAAACAACGCATAACCCACCTAGTAAAAGCTTAAATAACTGGATGGTGAAACAAGTTGTAGTGACCCTTAATATTGGTAGCAGTCCTTAAACATAGTAGCAGTAGTAACCCTAAATAAACTTTGTATCAGCAGCAGCTCTGGAATATAAAAACATGTAAATCCTAAACATTCTCTTCCAGTTTTTTCTCTTTCAAACTGTGAAATGAACTTTTCACACTGAAGCTAAAAGGGCTGTGAATGCTTCATGAACCAACACAGTAAGTCCCACTTGTTTATATTCATGAACATTTGTTTTGTATGTGTTATGTTGGTGTGAGTTCGTTTCAAACAATTCTCGTCATCACTGTTATATTCCATGCTAAAGGAATAAACACATAACACCAGATGGATACTAGAAGAAGGTTTATTGTACACAACAAGTACAATATGAAATACGGTACAGTTATACACACAGGTCAATTTAGTAGTGAGTGCCACTAACTGGAAGGTCGGACGTGTTTGCGTTGTCACTCCTCTGTAAGTCTCTCGTAGACAGTAGACTTTACTACCTATAATGTAATCATTCATGGGGGGTGACTGGTTATTACATCAGTATGCAATTTACTTCTAATGAAAGGAACTCTTGTTTTAAACTTTCCTTTTGTTAATTTTGTTTTTAAAAAATGTTATTTTTGCATTGCAAATCAATCAGTCAGTTATTTTGTGCATGTACCCTTTTTCAACACCATTATTTCACATACTATAAAACATTCCTGTAAGAAACCTTACACATTTAATTATTGAAGTAGTCAATTACTAAAAAGATTTAGGTGAGATGACAAAAAGACCAATTTTATTAAGAGCTACAAAGGATAGGAAATTGTGGAGAGCCATGATTGTCAAAATGATGAAGGAACATGGCACCATAAAGAAGAATAGTATCTTTGAAGCTTCAGTGGTGTTAATAGTGAAGAAAATCTGATTGATATTCTAATTTTATTCTTGTGACAGCAATTATTAATTTTATCATCACTTCTTTAAATGTATCATAATTTATCTTGCTTTCTCATTTCTATACAAACACCAATTCTTTTTTTTTTTTGAAAACCTCTTTTTTATTAAACATCAGTTGGCATAGTGCGATTTCGTCAAATGGATCTTGAAAATAGAATAACTTTGCTTTCCAAAAGTAACTAATATGTTGATACAATAGTTGTCAGTAAAAATGTAAACCCTTACACCCTTATCAAAATAATTGATTTCGCCGTTTCCATAGTAATTAATATTATGAATGTATATGCTTATAAAACTCCATAAATTTCAAGATTAGTTATTCCAAAATTCACTTGAGGTTGAAACAGAGCTGGGTACTTTAATTCAATTTAATTTCTATAATCAAATTGAAGTTTTTAGCTTCTGTTTTTGAAACATGAGAACTCTTATGTAGCAATGGAATGATATTTTTAAAAAAAAATAATTATAATTTAAGCTCTACTTGTGTATTGAGCACTGTTTTTAAGAATAAAAACAAAAATACTAAAGAACTTTGGATTATTAACCTAATGGTTCTTTCCTGTTTTTCTATATATTTGCAGACATATATATATGTATATAGTTCTAAAAGTATGCTAAATTTTATGGGTTCTAAAATCTTCAGGACATAAAAAATCAAATTTTAGATCTCCAAACTTAAAAAGGTCATAAATTTATAAAACAAGTTTTAGATCAGATAGAATAAGACAAATTTATTTTCTTCAAAATTAAAAAGATAGATTGATTAAGGTCTCCAAATTTTAGATCTCCAAACTTATAAAATATCCAAATTTATAAAACAAGTTTTATCAGATAGAATAATGAAATATATATAAATTTATTTCTCTTCAAAATAAAAAAGATAGATTGATAAGTAACCATATTTTGTCTCAAACTTATAAAAAAAAAGTTTTTTAGATTTGTACCAAGATGAATTAAAAAATTTCTCTTCAAAATTAAAAAAGTAAGGTCAAAAATTTATAAAAGGTCTCCAATTTTAGTTTTTAGATCAGATAGAATAATGAAACTGGTACCAAGATGAAGTAAATTTATTTCTCTTCAAAATTAAAATCAAGATTGATAAGTAAGGTCTCCAAATTTTAGATCTCCAAACTTATAAAAGGTCTCTAAATTTATAAAACAAGTTTTAGAAAAGATAGAATAATGAAATGGTACCAAGATGAAGTAAATTTATTTCTCCAAAATTAAAAAAGATAGAAATGTTTGTATTCTCCAAATTATAAAACCTAAATTTATAAAACAAGTTTTTGATAGAATAATGAAACTGGTTTTCTCTTAAATAGATTGATAAGTAAAGGTCTTCAAATAGATCTCCAAACTTATAAAAGGTCTCCAAATTTTAAAACAAGTTTTTAGATAAATAGAATAAACAAGATGTTGTTTTTTCAAAATTAAAAGATGAATTTTTTTTCTCCAAACTTTCTTTTAAAATTACCAAAAAAGATTTCTTTGATTCAAAATTAAAAGATTTGAATATCTCCAAAAACTTATAAAAAAGGTCTCCAAATTTATAAAAACAAGTTTTTAGATCAGATAGAATAATGAAACTGGTACCAAGATGAAGTAAATTTATTTTCTTCAAAATTAAAAGATAGATTGATAAGTAAAGGTCTCCAAATTTTAGATCTCCAAACTTATAAAAGGTCTCCAAATTTATAAAACAAGTTTTAGATCAGATAGAATAAAAGATATCTATAATGATCTCCAAACAACCAATTGAATAAAGACAAAAGTTAAATTTATTTCTCTTCAAAATGAAAAGATAAATTGATAAGTAATTTTTAAAATTTTAGATCTCAAAATAAAAGGTCTCCAATTTCTAAAACAAATTTATAAAACAAAAAAGATCAAGATCAGAAGGATGAAACTAAAACCAAGATGAAGGTCTCCAAATTTTTTCTTTTCTAAATTACAAAAGAATAATGAAATATGATATATATATAAATATATATATATATATATCCAAACTTATAAATATATATATATAAATTTATATGTATTTTTTAGATTAGATAGAATAATGAAACTGGTACCAAGATGAGGAATTTATTTCTCTTTTAAATTCCAAAAAATAAATTTATAAAAAAATAATTCTTATTCAAAGATTTTAGAATTGATAAACTTATAAAAGGATCCAAACATAAATTAACTCAAATTTTTCAGATAGAATAATGAAACTGGTTGAAGTAAAAGCTTGATTTTGTAAATTCAAATATTCTAAAAATCTTCAAAATTGAAAAAAGTGATTTTGCATTAGTAAGGTCTCCAAATTTTGATCTCCAAACTTATAAAAAGGTCTCAAATTTATAAAACAAGTTTTTTTAGAATAATGAAAGGTGTACCAAGATTAAATGAATCCAAAAAGATAGATTGAAATGTCTTTTCTAATCAAATAAAAAAGTTTTAGTCAAAATGTAGTTGGTACCAAGAAAATTTTATTTCTCTTGACATCAAATTGGTAGGGATCTCCAAATTAAAAGGTCTCAAATTCAGTTTTAGATAAAGTTCACATGAGTAAATTTATTTCTCTTTTTTTAATCATTTTGATAAAAAAGGTCTCCAAAAACAATGAAGAATACTGAAACTCAAGATGAAGTAAATTTATTTCTCTTCAAAATTAAAAAAGATAGATTGATAATAAGGTCTCCAAATTTTAGATCTCCAAACTTATAAAAAGGTCTCCAAATTTATAAAACAAGTTTTAGATCAGATAGAATAATGAAACTGGTACCAAGATGAAGTAAATTTATTTCTCTTCAAAATTAAAAGGATAGATTGATTGGTTCAAATTAAAAGGTCCTAAACTCAGATGAATAATGAAACTGGGGTAAAATTTCTCTTCAAAATTAAAAGATAGATTGGTCAAATTTTAGATCTCAAACTTATAAAAGGTCTCCAAATTTATAAAACAAGTTTTTAGATCAGATAGAATAAGAAACTGGTACCAAGATAAAATTTATTTCTCTTCAAAATTAAAAAGATAGATTGATAAGTAAGGTCTCCAAATTTTAGATCTCCAAACTTATAAAAAGGTCTCCAAATTTATAAAAAAGTTTTAGATCAGATAGAATAATCTAAATTTACTCTTCAAAATTAAAATTGATAAACAAGATCTCCAAACTTTTCTCTAAATTTTCAAGTTTTAGATCAGATAGAATAATGAAACTGGTACCAAGATGAAGTAAATTTATTTCTCTTCAAAATTAAAAGATAGATTGAAGTAAGGTCTCCAAATTTTAGATCTCCAAACTTATAAAAGGTCTCTAAATTTATAAAACAAGTTTTAGATCAGATAGAATAATGAAACTGGTACCAAGATGAAGTAAATTTATTTTCTTCAAAATTAAAAAGATAGATTGATAAGTAAAGGTCTCCAAATTTTAGATCTCCAAACTAAATTTATTAAACAAGTTTTAGATCAGATAGAATAATGAAACTGGTA